TACTACTAGTACTACTGCTACTGCTACTGCTTTTATTCCTGCTGCTACTACTACTACTACTACTACTGCTACTGCTACTGCTACTGCTTCTGCTTCTGCTTCTGCTACTGCTACTGCTGCTACTACTACTCGTACAGCTACTACAACTGCTTCTAGTTACCAATAGTTGTGGCGACTTCCACTACTACTACTACTACTACTACTACTACTACTACTACTACTCCTGCTGCTGCTGCTGCTGCTGCTGCTGCTGCTGCTGCGATAACGACGACGACTAACGACTACTACAAACCGTTTGCTGTGTTCTACTTGCTCCCTCTTCGGCCACTCCTATTGCTAATCTGATGTCTATGACTAGTACTACTACTTTTGGAAGTGCTGGCACTATTAGCATTCCTTGTACTGCTGCTGCTGCTGCCGCTTCTGCTGCTACTGCTACTGCTACTACTGCTGCTGCTGCTGCTACTACTACTACTACTACTACTACTACTACTACTGTCGACGTGCCAAGTGGGTGACAAAACTACTACTACTCCTACTACTGCTGCCAGTTACTCCTGCTGCTACCACTGATCATCATACTCAGTAGGTACTATTACTTGTACTTCTGCTACTACTGCTACTATTTTTTCTACTTACCGTTCCCACTACGACTAGCACTGCCGCTACACTTACTGCTCCTACCCACACCGCAACCACTGCCACAATCACTGCAGCTGTTGTCGCTACTGCAGTCGCAGTCGGATGGCAAACTTGTCCGCCACGGAGTGCCGACAGGGTTGACTAAGAAACCCGGCACTCAAAATGCCCAGGACCACAGCTCTGGCAAACGGCATCTTTCCAACAGATACTAAACCCAAAAGCTCAAACGTCGAAACCGCAGGCATTTGCCAAGATTTGGGCAGCCTGCGGCTTGCCAGAGAGAGAGCTTTCGGCAGACTTAGTGGGAGCTGCACCTCGGCTTCCATTGCTCGGCTTGACAAAAGGATAGTAGCTGTCATGATCATGTAATAGATAAGTTGGAGTTATGAGTGTATAGAGATCTAAACAGAAGTTCTTCACATCTACACAGATTTCTGCTTGGTTATCTATCTGTTTCACTTAGAAAATTAGGCGTATACTGTACGTATGCATACCTACCGACATACGTGCATACGTAGATATCTATGTATGTCTGTGTGTATATACACATATGTACACACGCGGTGTGTTGCATGTTCCCTGCGATTGAAGGAACATTTACTGTTGGTCTACCTGTAGTTGATTTGCTTGTTGCTGGTGGCACTGATGCTACTGCTATTCGGAAGGTTTCGGATGTTTACGTTTAGGGTTGTGGTGCCGGGTCTTTGCTGTGGTGGCCTTGAGGTTTGATTATGTTGTTCAAGTTAGGGTCGGCTGAAGCCAGAATTTGGGCGTGCACAGGTGGGACAGTGCATGCACCAAGAACCATCGGGAATTAAGACCCGCCAGATATAGAAGCAGCGGCAGCAATTCCTCTTCGCGGCTGCTTGTATACCTGTTGTAGGGTTGTCGCAGTTGGTGTCCTCTTTTCCAGCTGGCCTACTTCTACCCTCGACACGCTATTCTGAATCTCGGCAAGATGTCCCGATGTCCAGCATGTTCAACTTGAGAACAACCAGACTTGCTGGGGCCTGAAAGCAACGAAGGTTGCACAGCAGAGAATAGCAACAGAGAGCAGTTGGAACCCGAGAACAAGCAGCTACACAGGCCACAAATTGCAGTATGCGCAGCTAGAGAGCAGGCAGGCATGCGGCGATTGGCAGGATTTGATTCTTTGAGACTCGGAGCAGCCAAGCAGTTTGCGGTATGTTGAGCCCAATCACAACCAGAAATACTGCCGGCAGTTGCAGCCTGAGAGCAGCTGAAGCCGGAGGACAGCCGTAAGCCATAAATGCTGCCAGTCACAGCATGTCCAGCTTGGTCAAAACTCTGGAAAATGTAGGACCTCTGTAATCTACATAACACTCCCCGGCCCCGGCCCCTGCCACTTTCTCAGGTCTTCGTCGAGGGTCCGCCGCCACCGATACTCTCGGCACCTTGAGCCCGGGAAGAATGTAATTTTGTATAGGGACCTTCATAACTTGAGCAGGGTCTGGAGGGTATGTTACACTTCATACTTATACTTGGAACCCCACGGAATAACATTGGTAATTGTACAGGCTTCTACAGTAAATAAGGAAGATGTATTTGCAGGTCTTGATACAGTTTCTTTTCGGCATTGGCGTTTAGGGTTATGCTGCCCGCGTCTCGCGATATCCATAAGAATGATTGTTGGACTCTTCTGTGAGGTTACCTGGTGTAAAATGTCATGTTTTCGGCTTAAGACACCGATCCTAATGGTATCGCATAAACATCAATAAAGCCTAGGTCCGGTCTTCTTCCAAGGTAATGACTTAAAGGATACCGTTCATTGAGTTTAAATAGGATATGATTGGAATAAGGACCGTGAACTGGAATCATAATTCATGGTATGATTCTGTTTCAGGTTATGCGGGGCTCTTACCAAGCCCCGAGTAGCATGAGTAGTAGGCCATGCATTAGCATTAGCACATTAAAGGTACGTACATGGCGATAGGGGAGAATAGCGACCACGTGCTATCCCTGCGAATGTCGTGTTCCGGCATGGGCCATCGCCAACGCATGGAAGCAACACGCATTCACACTCCACAGCTTATGGAAAGCTTTGCCTCTGACTGTGGCCAGGAACCGAAACGCCTGAGGGCTGCCGACACCTCGCTTTTTCAGCTCGTTGGGTCTCCCAGAGTGGAAGGTATGTTGCAGGCCATGTCCACATGTCGGCACAGACGTGCGCACGCATCCACGCGCACACGATGCACTCAGCAGAGACAGACAGACCGACAGACAGACAGACAGACAGACAGACAGAGAGAGAGACAGACA